TTCTTGCATCCTGGACGCAGATTCGGCGGGCGTGTGTGACCCTTCTTAGTATTCCGCACGACGGCGCTCTTCTTTTTCGCGCCACGATGCCACCTTTTTCCCCCCCATCTTCCTCTTTCCCACCGCCCCTTTATTCCACTCCATGTAACATGTTCTCCGCATTAATATAGCACGGCTTAAGACAAAGGACGATCGACCGACGTCCCGCTCCTCTCCTTCCTCCTTCCTTCTCTCATCTCTACCCTTCTCCCGGTTTTTATCGACTCGCCCCTTTTCCTGCGTCATATCGCCATCCTCTTTCGCGCGCGTCCTGGAGAACACGAAAGGCTGGACGTATATATTCGTTAAGTCAAAGCCCCGAGAGAAGTCCCTCAAATTGGGGGGATTTCTTCTTTCCGACATGCCTGCCTGGTCTGCCTGCCTTACGCGAGACGTGCTGGATCTTGACCTTTGAGCACGTCTCGTCTTTTTTTCGTACGACATACTCTTCAACGCTAAATCATATAAAGCCGTCCTACATACGGATGTCGCAACTTTTGCAGTCAATTCAGCAAAGCCAGATGATTAATAGACATCTTATATCAACCGCATCAATAACAGCGCTATATTATGACTGGTCTATTAATAAACTTTATTATTCTATAATTACATTACATTTATCTGCTGCTACAAAATACTGCTAAAATCTTTTCAGGACTATTATAAAATATTAAAATTGTCCTATATATTTCATTTTTTTTTTCGTTCTCTCTACTAAAATATTATATTTTAAAAAAGAACCAACTTTTTATTTTTGCGGTATTATGTATTAAACATAAATGGGCTGTAAATTAATTATAGAACTGTTACATTTTTTTCTCTTCATATTATTATTATATGAGATTTGGTGATGATATATTACATTATGAATATGTTATAAAATAAAAAAATTAATATTATAAAACTTAGTGTATGTGTATGAATTAATAACGTATTTGCAACATGTATATAAAGAAAAAATGTATTCAACGAAAACATATTCTCTTATTCTTGCAATAATAATTTTTTTAATTATTCTTTTTCATAGTAATCTTTAATTTTTTGTGCTAAAAATTTACAAATGTTGGTAAGTTGCTGATTATCTGCAGTACGCTTTGACCTGTAGATTGCAAGTGTTCCGATTACAAGACATATCAGTACGAAGTTTGAGGAAAAATTTAATATGATGATCATATTCATTTGCATGATCACGTTATATAATTATAATTGACATAACAACGAAAATGTACTGCTAAAAACATCTTTATTAGTCTGAAATTATATAAATAGGTCACATTTAGTCTTGCCACACAGAAATGAGAAAGATATGAAAAGAAAAAGAGAGAAAAAAAAGAAGAAAAATTTTTTACATTTTCAAAATTTGGGTCAAAATTATCACAAATTTGATGTCACACATCGAGTTTCTCTATAAGACACTCGCGAATTACTTGAAATTTCTATATTTTTGTTCGGCGCTAGGAACTGTTTAAATTTGTTTATTTTAATTGATAGATATTGATTTCTTTTAAATACATTACACAGATATCGGAATCTATCCGATACCTTTCAATTTCTTGTCCGATCGTGACGAAAATTGTAGTTGTTCACTTTTTCAAAGCTGTTTCTGTTATCGGTGCGATTATGTAAAAAAGCCTTTTGGCTGGAGCCAATTGAAGGCACCGTGTAAGAGATATATATCTGTTATCTCGTGCGCACGTCACACAGCGTGTGAGCAAACGAAGATAGCCTACATACGACGATTTGGTAACATGCTAGCAATTCGGAATTGCATCAATGAGAGGAGAAATTAACGGCGAAAGTGCCGCTACTTTCAGAGATACTTATCGAGACTCTTGTCAAAATATCGCAGTGTATTTGCGATATTTCGGCATCTAAAAATTGGACAAAAAACATATATAAACAAAGAGATGCGCCGTGTTACATATTTAACATTAAGTATTACATAACCACAAGTGATTAAATCGAAAATTGCCAATTTCTGAAAATTCGCGTTCTCAAGATTATTATTTCTGCTATCGATTTTCACGTTTTCTCTTGCGCATTACCTTGTATAGTCATCGGCGTTCCGCAATATCCCATGTGCGGTTTGAGGCGACCGCATATGGCAACGAAAGTTTTTGCGTAATTGCGAAATACACCATCCCGCCGAGTCATTCCCACCGGAATGCATTATTCGAATCACCAAGGTGAGGTCAGGCTCGTTAAGTAGGCGGGGAGGCGGGGGGGGGGGAGAGAAAGGAAGGAAAGGGAGAGAAAAAAAAAATGAAAATGAGAAGGTTGACTGAGCATCTTACGTCTCCGTCGCGTCTCCGCGTCTCAACTTTGCCATCTTAAAGCCCTCCGAAGTTCTCCAGTCCTGTTCGACGCAGGACGAATTTCCTACGGCTACTTAACCTGCGGCAACACGTATTTCCCATGCATTTTAAGGATTTCGGACTATAGGGACGGTGTTTTGTCGAAGTATGAGCACGTAGTTGCCGTGAAAGGATCATAGAGTGGACTTAGCTGCGGAATCCCGTGTAAAACTTGCCCAGAATAACAAAGTTCCGCGTCTCGGGGCACACCCGATGCCCCTCTGCGGCCTCCTCATCGCGGTCAGACTCTTTATTTTTCCCGAACAGCCCCATTATGATGTCCGATGATCTCGATTTTATACTCTCGTTAGCGCCTCATAGCCGTGCGAGAATCTCCTGCGTCGATTGCGTTTAATTTATTGCAGAAATTTAAGTAAGCAAGTGAAAAACGTGGTACGAGTCGATTCGCGAAACGATACGATCGTGAATGGAAAAAAATAAGAAAGAAGTTTGAACCTTTAACTTGAACATACAGATAAATAATATATATAGTAAATATATATATATTTAACATTTTATTTAATATTCCTTTCAATTAGATGGGAGCGATTTTTATTCATTCGTGTTTTATTGATTTCTGTTAAGTTTGTCGAAGTATCCGGAATGAATGGATATCTCGTTTTTTTTTTTTTTTCGTCTAATTCATTTCCATTTTTCAATTTATGAAATGTGTAACGCTTAATGCGATAACCGATAATAACAAACGTGCGGGAACGCCGCTTAAGGGATAGTTTAGACGCGAAATTGTCTGTAATGAAAACCGCGTGTGCGAACAACGCACCGACCGTTTTCTGGCAGGATGTGTCGCGCATCATGGTCGTTATTATCGCGATCTAAAATGGTCCCCCCCTCGCAGTGCGTTTTATCTGCGTCCCGCTAAGCCCGGACTTCCGCAATGTCGAAACAACGAGCGCGCCGGGTGTTGTCGCGTTTCTTGACTCGCGCGTTCGCGGCTGTTAACGCTCGAGAAACACATTCAACGAACAACGCCCGGGCGCCTGCACACACACACACACACACACACACACA